TCCCTGAGGAAGCTTGGAAACAAATAATGGTGCCGGAATTTTTCAAGAGGACAACCATGCCTCTGGATGATGGTTCTGAAATAATTGTACCCAAGAACTAGGTACCCCATCTGGACTGGCTTAAGGATGAGGCGTTCATCTCCGCCTGTGGCTTGAGTAACTTTTTTGATAGACGTACGTAAACCACTTAATCGGCACTTTTGTGCCGCCTCTATTGTTCTGATTTGTTTTGTATTTAACCAACCAGTTTTCCTTTTGCAGAAAAAGGTCTTGAACATGTCCCGCCTGAGAATACGCCGGCTAGGTCTGCAGCCCAGATCCGGAAAGATCAATTGGAAAAGAAAAGGGCCTAACTGGTGAGATAATGGGGTAAGCTCCAGTTGTGCTATAACTTGTAAACTTCAATTCTCATCAAACGGCTTTTAACCGGCTGTGACCTCTGTGCTTAATTTTCAAGGTGGAATTAAGAACGTTCCTCGTTCCATCTCCAAAATGCTACTCAAACGGAAGGCTGAGGAACCTTCCAAAGCTCCCTCTAAGGCGAGGAAAGGCCCTCCTGCCTAGACAGCTTCATCAAGGCCGCCTGTACATTACAGACCAATATCCGCAGGCAAAAGCCTAAAGGATCTTGGTTTGAGTACCGAGCCGGCTGACGAAGAGTCGGGCGTCCCTGAGACGCCGAAGAGTGGCATGCCACTCAATGCTGCAACCGGTTCTGCAGCGGCTGAGGGTGTGATCACCCCCCAGCCTAAACCTCAAGGTATGGCTTATAGCTTTGATCTCCCATGGCCGCTTGGGCATATGCGAGTCAAATCCCAAGTTACCCAATCAGGGGATTCTTCTAGCAGCCAGCACAATGTTGGTGTCGCCTATGCTGCTGTCTCACCATGTCACTCTATTGGTGCAAATGCCTCTTCAAGATGGCCTGACCTGCAACAATATTCCAGGCGGATGCTGAGGACCTCACCAGGTCTGAAAAAGAGGCGATCCCGGTAGTGCATCAGGTCAATATGGATCGCATCAACGCCTTGCTTGCTGAGGTAACTTGCCGACTGAGTTAACTGAGCTTAATTTGCCTTTGACCGACTGAGGAATATGAGTTGAATTTACTCCTTGCCGGCTGAGCTCAACTAACTCTTTCCCGGCTGAACTCAACTAACTTTTTCCCGGCTGAGCTTTGCAGGTAATGCTGAGAGTGGAATGGCTCGAGGTCTCCTTTAGAAAGAAGCAAGAGGAGGTAAGAGACGTTAATAAACGGGTGGCTGATACCCTTGATGTTGCTCAATACAAATGTACTATGAATGACATAAGGACTAAAGCCCGAGAGATGAAACAGGAGGAGCTAATCAAGGAGCTCACTACTGCTATGGAGGTGGCCAACAATAAGACGTCTGACCTTGAGCTTCAAATAAAAAACCTCCAGTTAGATCTAAAGGCACTGGAGGATGCTGATAAGGAGAATACCCAGCTTAGGACAGACGTCTCCCGACTGAAGAACGAGCTGGCCCTAGTGCAGGCTGACCACAAGGTTGAGCTGGTGGCCGAACAAGAGCAGCTGGTGGGTGAGAATGAGCGTGATTGCGAAGCACGCATGAAGATAGCATGGAATCTCATCCACCCAGACTACGACTAGGAATTCTTCAACTTAAGGTACGTACCAGTATGCCACTGAGGTATACGATGCCCAGTCTCTCGGTCTTGAAGTGCCGGCTTCATTTAAAGAGTGGGCCGGCATTGGGCCGTTCGATGAGGAGCATGAGGATGAGGAGCTCAATGAGCAAGAAGATCAAGCTCCGGTTGATGCTGTCTAAGTTCAACCAGGGCAACCTGAAAGCGATCTCCCATCAAGTCAGGGCCAGACGGTGCCTCCACCTCAGCAGCAACAAAATTAAAATTGTCTTTGTCTCCGGCCTGCGTGCCGTGTATGTTGATGTATTTCTCTTTCTTTTTCCGGATGTTGATCTGGCTAACAATTACTCTCCTGGCCTTTTAGTCGGTTTTTTTATAATATGATTTGTCGACTGTGTCGGTTTTGCTATATTTGCTTTAACTTCAATTTTTGCAATTTTTCAATGTGTACGTTTTGCGAAGTAACCTAATACATGCGGTTTACCGGATGCACTGGGTTTATCTGCCCCTAGATGGGTGTTTTCTTGGTAATTGTCCCAACTCAAGCGGGCAGTCGTCCAATAAGCATCCAGATGGAATGTCAGGCGGTCATTGACCGTATCTGAATCGATTCTCAGTATTTAATTCTAAGTTGGAATAACAGGCGATTTTCTCTATGGCGCCTAGGTTCCAACTTTGATTTTTCGGGGTCAACCGGCTATGAATTACCCCTTGGGATAATCAGTCTTTCCCAATTGTTTAATAGCAAGCGGTCATTGGCCGTGTGTAGTTGTCATAACCAAGGAAAGTTTTAGCTGCTAAGGTTATGACTTAGTTTAAATCTTCAATTGCAACCGTTTGTATTACTTCTGAGCGAGACCGGTTATATCCAACCAAGATACTAGTTACCATTTGCTATAGAATATGCGGTAATTATAGTTATCCAGGTTTCCATTGATCATTCAAACGGCTGCGAGTTGTCTTAATCAAGACAATCGGTAGGGCCGTTTGTTTTCAAGTTTATAGAACAATGTGCCACCCAAATGGGAGATGCTCTCTGCGATGAATTCACCGAAATAGGCGTCGTCGGTTCTCTACTTATGTTGGAGCAGGCGGTTGTTTTAAGGTTATATGGCCATTGGCCTCATAGATAGTTGCAAAGTATTGGACTTAGCTTGCACCTACTCATGTTTGGAGCAGACGAAAATTTTTTACAGGTCCGCTTGTACATTGCACAAATACGTGAAAATAAAGCATCTTTTCATTGATAAACTCTATTTACAAAAATTTACAAGTCTTAGAAGTAGTACTTTTTTAAGTTGTCTACATTCCAAATTCTTGCTAGTTGCCTGCCGTCTGGAGTTTCCAGGCGGTAGGTGCACCTCTCACTTCTTCATAGAATCCGGTAGGGGCCTTCCTAATAAGGAGTCAACTTCCCTTGCTCATTGGCCCTACCAGTTGCCTCCGTTTTCCATAACACAAAGTCCCCTACTTTCTAGGGCCGTTTTGTACTATTTTGTTGTAGGCTCTTGTCATTCTCAGACGGTAAATCTCATGACGCAAGGCGGCATTGCCCTTGCGTTTTGGGAGTGAGTCCAATGCTAGCCACATGGCCTCCCAGTTAGCCTCTTCGTCATAAAGCATGACTCGAAGGGTTGGCTCATAGTGCTCGATTGGCAAGACGGCTTCTGCGCTGTACGTCATAAGAAAAGGGGTTTCACCGGTTGCCCCTTTTTCAGTTATTCTAATGGTTCATAGGACATGAGGTAGTTCATATGCCCATAGACCGCCAGCCCTTTCAATTTTCTTAATACCGTATGAGATCAGCTTGTTGAAGGCTTCAACCTGGCCGTTTGCTTAGGGACGACCAACTGATGTAAAGCAATGTGAGATCCTTTTATCTCCCAACCAGATCTTGAGGGTAGGCGTCTCAAATTGAGGGACATTGTCAAAGACCATAGACATAGGTACCCCAACCGGGTGATAATATTCCTCCAAATGAGGGAGATGACATCCTTTATCTTTATGCCTTTGACCGCCTCTACTTCTACCCATTTGGTAAAGTAATCAACGACAACTAGAATATACCTCTGTCCGCTTATAGCAGGTGTATATGGACCTAGGATGTCCATGCCCCATTTAGCGAATGGCACTGGGCTGTGAATAGCCGTCAGATCAGTAGCCGGACGGTGTATAAGTTTGCCAAATATTTGACACTTGTCACACTTCTTCACCATTCCATGTCGTATTCCTCAAGAGTGGGCCAAAAGTAGCCTTGCCACCTGACCCTTTTTGCTAGAGTCCTGCCACCGATATGTGATGCATAGAAACTCGAGTGCAGATCTTGTAAAACTTCTTTCCCACTTTCTGGGGTGACACATTTCAGTAGCGGCTGGAGATAACCCTTCTTGAAAAGTTCTCCCTTAGAATCTCAAAGCTTGCGGCACGTTTTTTCATTGCAGCCGCTTCCGAGTATGCATCCGGCAGAGTGTCGTCTGCTATATAAGCCCGGATGCCATCCATCCAGGTTGAGCTTTGGTCCAGAATTCCAATGGAATCTTGTTCAATACTTCTCTTTTCCATAACTTCCCAAAAGACTAACCTAGGCGTATCACAAGAGGCGGATGATGCCAGTTTAGAGAGAGCATTCGCCTGATTGTTTTCTGACCTGGGCACTTGACTTATATGAAATTCATCAAGTGTCTCGGCCTCATCTTTGACTGCCTACAGGTATTTGATCATAGCCGGATGGGTGGCCTCATAGTCACCATGGTATTAGCTAAAAATCAGTTGTGAATCAAGTAGACGTCAATTTTTCTTGCCCTTGCCGCCTTACACATGCGGATACCGGCTAAGAGGGCTTCATATTCCGCCTCATTATTTGAGGCTTGAAACTTGAACCGTAGTGCATATTCATACTTGTCCCCTTCAGGAGACTGGCATATAATCCCTGCACCACAGTCGTTCATTGTAGAGCTCCCGTCTACATACACTTTCCAAACCTGGTCAAGATTCCACTAGTAGAAAAATCTAAATGGGAAGCGGTTCAACCCCCCTAATTAGAAGCGGTTTTGAATCGCTTCCTTTTGGGGGGCTTGCCATTGTATAATTAAATTGGAAGCGGTTTGAACCACTTCCAATTTATGGAGAATTGGAAGCGGTTTTGGCCCAAACCGCTTCCAATTCCCATTTTTAACATGAAAAAAATGGAGAATTGGAAGCGGTTTTGGCACCAAACCGCTTCCAATTCTCCAATTTTTTTTATTATTAATATTATAATATTATAAGTACCTTTCACAATAATTTTAGTGTTATTAAGTAATAATAATATTAATATTACAAACAATAATACAATGATATATATAACACGAAATAATTATATATATTAAAATTAACATCATTAATATATTTCATGAACAATAATATTTGATTACACCAAAATATTAAACACACTCTGTAAGAATGGCAAACGTCCATGTTATTCAAGGACAAAAAAAAAAAAAAAAAAAAAAAAAAAAAAAAAAACGAGGAAGCTCAGGCAGGCTGCACAGCAGCACAACAGCCCAAGCAGGTTGCACAGCCAGCCTAGGAAGGCTGCACATCCAGCCCAGGCAGGATGCACAGCAGCACAACAGCACAACAGCCCAGGTAGCCTGCATAGCAGCCCAGGCAGCTACACAGCCAGCCCAGGCAAAGCAGCCCAGGCAGGCTGCACAGGTGCACTGCAGCCCAGGCAGCTGCACAGCTAGCCCAGTGGCCCTTGTTCTTGGTCGTGGTTCCTCTGGGTTATGACGTTGCGGAGTTCCTCAAATAACTGAGCTTGGGTTGTGTTGTTCACCGTCATTTGTGTGTCTTGCTGTTGACGGAATAACTCGAAACAACCATCGATTTTCTGCTTCAAAAACAAAGCTGCTGTGATGGAACCACCTTGACGACCCCCTGTGTTAACCATATCAGCAACCCCTGATTTCATTGAGTCAGATTATTCGAGTTGGGTCATATACATCACATAGAACTAAATTGAAGAGCATATAATCAACATAAACACAACTTGCATAGTTGCATTGCATTACAAAATTCATGAAAATTAATGCATGATTATCAATCCTTAATATACATATTACAGTAACAAGCAAATGCAACCGAAACAGTGAGGTGATCCAAAGTAAATCAACAAGGAAGATGATACAACTAACGAAAAGCAGCAGAGTTAAATTACCTTGCCAGTTAGAATGATAACACTAATTGAACTATCATCCCTTGCATCATCAAACGCTCGAATCAGCTCCTTGATTGTTTCTAGCCTAAAAGAATTCCCTCTTTTTGGCTGTGTAAGTAGAAAAATTACAAACTTTTTGACTGTGAAGAGAAACAGAAAAGATTTAAGAGACCTTAGCATCACCAATCATCAACATTTCAAAACTATCAAAGTTTTTCCTTCCCCTAATACGTTTTCTTCTTTCTGCCAAAGCTAAAATTTGAAATTTGATATCCAAACAGGAAATTCAAACAAAAAACTGACGCGCTTTCTAGATAGATAAATTTTTTAGTTGAATCAATAGATTTCAAACATCACATCAAACATTTCTGATCAGCCCCATTTTCAGCCACAGGGTCAAGTATATTGATAGCACATAGACTAAAGGAGAAAGCTAACACCCCAAGCTAAAAGAGATCAAGCTACTAGCTATATTGCCTAAATATTAGGCCAAAAGACGAAGACAGAGTTTAATATATTACAAGGCTGATCAAAATATTATGCACGGCTTTTGTTTTAAATATACCTTAATATTATTAGTATTAAAGTTCAAACATGGTGATTATTTATGTCATTTAGATATTGGCTCACAAGCCTGATTAGGGATAAGGCAGCGAAAACTAGATACCCCAAACCTGTTAACAAGCCAGCTGAATTCTCAATTCTTATTGTACATACTATTGTTTGCTAATTAAAGAGTTTCATAATCAATTTGTGCAGAAAAGTGGAGATTATTTTTCTCCACTAGCTATATAGCACGCATCATCATCACCTTCAATTGGCGTTTTAAATTATATTTATAAAGCATAGCTCAACATCCCCAAACTTCTTAGTTATTCAAGCACTTAATTGTGAGCCTAATGCCCCAAACTCCAACACTAGATAGGGCCAAAGCCTAGACCTTAACTAAAACGTAATCAGAAAAATTTGCCACAATCTAGAATGTTGGTATCCTAATACAAGTAATCAGGGAAGTTTGTTTACCTCCCCACAAGCCACGAGACTATCTAAAATAATTTTGTTGCATAGAAGACAGAAATTTACAGATAAACAGCAACTTTGGTTCAAGAATTTCTAAAATAGGAGTAGCACAACAATAAGATAACAGGGAAAACACCAGATTTAGCAACACATAATTGTTTAATTTACTCATAATTCTAAAATAAACCACCAGAGATACATGGCATATGTATCAAATAAAATAAACGAAACACAATTACACAACTCCCTCACTGACCCTACTCTGCTCCTCACACACAGCAGCCTGTAATTTCAATTTAAGCAACAAGGCAACCTCCACACCAACACACAATCACACCACACATCACAGCAGCTCCAATTCACAAGCAAGTGCGTTGTAACCCCCTTAGCCATATAAATTTACATCCAAAATTATTGATAGAATCACATGAGATACTACTATACTCACATAACCATTACAAACAAAATAGGGCACCAAATCCGCACAACAGAAACAAAATTTGCACACTTCAATGTAAAAACCTAAAAATTAAACAGAAACAAGAATTAAACATAAAGGATTACCTCATTTCAGTTGAGCCTCGATGATTCGTATTAAGGAGTACCTCACCCTTTAATCTCAATCCTCTACAAAGTACCACAAAATAATCAAAAATTGAAAGTTAAACATCAAGTTACAGAATATGAAAAGGAAAGCAAGATTAATTGTGAAATTTCACAAAAACTGAACGAAAAAGGAGATAAATTGCATAAATTGAATGAAAATTGTTTCAAAAAACCCTAGCCGTCGATGGCGCGCAACTAACCTGACAACACCTAAGTGAAGCTAAGGCAATGGTGTAGTTGTTGTGGTGGGGTTAAGTGAAGCTAACAGCAATGGTGGTTGTGGTGGAGTGACGGTGTGAGAGTGAAAGAGGAAGCAAAGAAGGTAGTCAGGGAGCGCAATTGTGAAAAATGAAGGAGGGGAAATGAGGGAGTTTAAATCCCGGTTTTTTTTTAATATAGGGAAGCGGTTTGAACCGCTTCTAATTACTCAAAACGCTTCCAATTCTCCTCTTGTTTTTTTTTTCCCCGAGTTTTTATATGGAATTGGAAGCGGATTCCAATAACCGCTTCCAATTAGTGGCTTCACATTACCTATTTTCTACTAGTGTTCTCCGGCTCAGTCGGCCTTGTCATTTCGACAATGAAGTCGGCAAACGGCTGACCCTTCACTGCCTTCCTTGGTTCGAAAGTGATTTCAAGACATTGCATTTCAATATCCCATTTGAGCATCCTGCCGGATGACTCGAAAGTTGTCATTGGCCGCTTGAGGGGTTGATCTGTGTAGATCACAACCGGATGTGCCAAGAAGTAAGGTTTCAACTTCTTGACTGCCATGAAAAGAGCAAGGCCATATTTTTCAACCATGGGGTACCGTAGTTATGCATTTCGGAGAACATGGCTAATGAAATAGACCGGGAGCTGCATGTCGTCTCTCTCAGCCAGGAGAACAACACTGAGAGCATGGTCTGAGACGGCTAAATACATGTAAAGCACCTCTTGTGGCAGAGGGCTGACAAGCCTAGGCAAGGAGTGCAAGTGTTCTTTCAACTTCTGAAAGGCCGCCTCAGCATCCTCCCCCCGTTCAAATTTAGTCTTCTTTTTTATTGCTTAGATAAAATAGAGGCACTTGTCGCCTGACCGGCTGAGGAATCTCCCCAATGCCGCCAGACAACCGGTTAATTTTTGGATATCTTTGAGAGTGCGGGGTGACTTCATGTAAATGACCGCCTGTATCTTTTCCGGGTTGGCCTCTATCCCCCTTTGATCAATCAGAAATCCGAGAAACTTCTCAGACTCAACACTAAAGACAAACTTCTTGGGATCAAGCATGACCTTGTGCCGCCTGAGAGTGGTGAATGTTTCTCGGAGGTCAGCAAGGTGATTTGTCTGTAGCTTGGATTTAACTATCATGTCATCAATGTACGCCTCTACATTCCTCCCAATTTGGTTAATGAAGATTGTGTTAATCATTCGTTGGAAAGTAGCAGGCGCATTCTTCAACCCAAACGGCATCAAAGTAAAACAGAATAACCCCTGATCAGTGATGAATGTCGTCTTTTCTTGGTCTATCTTCCACAAGGGTATCTAATGAAATCCTGAGTAGGCGTCCATAAAGCTCATCAAGGCATGACTGGCTGTAGAGTCGACCAGGCTATCGATCTTTGGAGGTGGATAACTATCCTTCGAACATGCCTTGTTCAGGTCTGTGTAATCAACACACATGCGCCATGTACCATTCGGCTTTTTTACAAGAACAACATTTGCAACCCAATCCAGGAAGTAACATTGTCGAATGAACCCAGCATCCAATAGCTTCTTGACTTCGGCAACTGCCGCCTGACTTCTTTCCTCACCGTGATTCCTTTTCTTTTGCCTAACCGGCTTCTTTTTTGGATCTACGGCGAGTTTGTGGACGCGAGATCCGGGCTGATGCCTAGCATCTCTTCCACTTCAAAGGCAAAAATGTTCTTGAATTCTTTCAGCAGATGGTGCAAGTCTGCACCCAACTTGGCAAATGCAACCGTCCCAACTATAACAGTTCGCTCTGGACGTGTATCGTCCAAAATTATGTCAATATGTTCACCAGCCGGCTGGGAACGGAGTTCGTCTGATCGTTCCCCGATCAGTGATTGCTATTTCTTCTCTTTCTTGATGGTCACCAGCTGGTCGGCCTTTCTCTTTTTGCCAGCTGCTATTGGAGCAGGCGCGACTTCTTTAACCTCATCAAGGTCTATAGGTTCTTCTCCGTGGCCGGATGCGGCCATAGTAGGCTTGATGTCTGAGAGGTAGCACTCCCTTGCCGTCTTATGATCCCCGTTCAAGGAACCTATACACCCATCATCTCTATCAAACTTCACGAGCATAAGGGATGGAATGATGACGGCCTTGGAATCATTTAGTGTTTGACGGCCTAAAATGAGATTATATGCAGTCAACTCCTCAACGACCAAGAACCAGACTTCCATGTGACGTCCTTCTCCCTTTTCTCATAACCGGATGGGTAAGTCAATCCTCCCCACCGGATGCACTACTCCACTCCCCAAAACCAACTAGGGGTAAGATACTTTGTGCATGCTGCTGGGTTTGTACTTCAGCTTTGCTAAGAACTTATGGCTGATTAGGTCAGACGAACTCCCAGTGTCAATAAGGATCCGTTTAACCTTCTAGTTGGCCACTTTGCATTCAATGACTATGGGGTCATCATGTGGCCGCTAGACCTTGCCCCTGTCTTTCTCAGTGATATTGACTTCAAGAAAGGTGTCTTTTGACGCCTGGCCCTCATCAACTGAACTGACATCCAGCCGCCTGATGTAATCCTTGGTGCTCGGATGGTTAGGCCCCCTCCAAGCAAAGCCGCCTGCTATGGTATAGATCGGCTCCTCATTAGTGTTCGAAATATTAGCAGATTGGGGTGCCTTTTGGGATGGCTGTCCATTGTTAGTCCTTAGGGTCACCTTGGACTTCAAAATGTAGGACTTCAGCACTCCTTTATCGGCCAAACGGTCCAATAACCGTTTAAGGCTGCAACAGTCATTGGTGTCATAGCCTATGTCCTCATGGAAATGACAGTATTTGTTTTTGTTCCGATTTCTGGCGGAACCCTTCATTGTAGCCGGTTTATCAATAGTCCCCCGGTCTTTGATCTCCATGAGGATGGTGTAGCAGTCCTTGTTAAACTCATATTTGGGGATGTACGGTTTAAACTCCTTTTCTTTCTTCTGCTTCTGGGATGGCTGTTCAAAATCATCTGCCACCCTGACCTCTTTTCTTTTCTTGCTCTCTTCCATTTTTAGCCGGCTGAGCAGGCCGACTATTTTTTTTGTCGAACTTCTTAGTGTCCGGCTGTTTGGTGATGGCACAGAGTTCAGTCGCTTGTACATAGGCTTCTGCCTCCATCAGCCCCTCTTAGAGGGTAGCAACCCTCTTTCTGACAAGGTCAAACTTAAAGGTCGACTTGTCTTTCAGACCTTTGAAGAAGTCTGTGTAAGCCACTTCGTTAGACAGTCCTTGAATCTGAATTCTCATCAGATTAAACCGCCTGACGTAGTACCTAAGCCCTTCTCTATCTCCCTGCTGTATAGCACCCAAGTCTAGACTTGTTTTCTTTTTAGGGATGTTCGTAGAGAAGTTAGAAGCAAACAAGTATGTAAGCGTCTTAAAGCTGTTTATGCATCTGGCTGGCAGGTTGCCAAACCATCGTTGGATAATGCCCTTCAATGTAGCCGGGAAGCATCGGCACCAGGTGGCATCGTCCAACCCCTGTTGGTACAAGAGGTTGGTATAGGCCATCAGGTGGTCTTCAAGATTAGTGGTACCATCATAAGTACCTACCAACACATTTTAACCTTGGCCGGCTGGGCCGCCTTGGTTACCTTCTTGGAGAACGCATAAGGTTGTTCCCCAAGTTTGAGCAGACGAAGCTGTCAGTCCCAAGGTTGGACATTTTGTGCCGCCTGACCCCCAAAGAGAACCGGCTGCATATATTGTTGCCCATACAACATGTATGGCTGCTGAGGCACATACAGAGCCAAATGGATTATTTGAGGGCCAGAGTGGACGGATAGGCCGCCTAACTGACCCTCTCGGTTTAATTGCGAATACCTTATCGAGGTATACTGAAAGCTGTGTGGATAAGCCGACTTTGAGGCCGACTCAAATAGTTGTTGACTTTTCTTTTGCTGGATTAACATCTAGGCATCTGAATAAGTCTTCTTTGATCCATCCGGCTGAACTTGACGGATGGCCTTCCTCTTCCCTATTTTAGGAAATCGAATTTTGGATAGATCAACCATGGGCCAGTCCCTCTCCTTTGGTTTAGGATGAGGAGTAGGTACAAGATCTTTGACAGGCTTCTTCTTCCATGAGGGAGGAGGTTTCTTGGCCGACTGACCCCTGTTGGTGCCAGTCGTCTTTTTTTCAATTAGGTCCTTGATTTTCCCTTTAAAACTTGTCATGAATTTCATGAGTTCGTCTCTAGTAACGGGGGTTGCACCTTTTGCCGCCTAGGGTTTTGCAGACGGCTTTTCGGATAGCTGGCTTGGACCGGCTTGATCATCGCCCTATTCCCTTGTTTCCTTAGGACGGGTGCGTCTGGTTCTGAGTGACCCGTTTGGGGCCACATGGGTTTCGACATCGATGTCGTCACCACTGTCTTGGTCTGTATAAACCTCAAAGTCGGTCGTAGGCCGTTTCTCATTAGGAGGTGGTATAGACTCATGTGAAGCCATCTTTGAAGTACTCTCTCCACAGACGGCGCCAAATGTTTCGGGGTTTTCTGTGTCCTTCGGGAGAGTTACATTTCCAAGACTGGATTCTGGGCGCATGTACCTGCAAAACAACAATCTCCGGTTGGGTGGAGTTCCGCCTCCGACGATCAAGTTAGACCGTGCTCGGATGATGTAGAAAGTGCGGAAAGTAAAGTATCTTCTCGGATTCCAAGATCAGGAGTAAATATCTGCAATTAATGATTGCTCAGTTTTTTGTGAATATTTCTGAATATGCTCCTAGGTGGGAATATCTCCCTATTTATATGGTCTGGGAATTTGTGCCGTCATTCTAGGTCACGGAAACCTAGGAATGGTTGGCTTCCTCGGGAATTGGGCTTTGAAGGTCACCTTTTTCCCAATGATTAGGGAGGCCACATGTCAGCAGATGAGAGGTTCATTTTGGACCTCTCTAAGGTGACACGTGTCACCATCTTATTGGACCACGTGGCCTTGGGTATTTTTACCCAAATCAAAGTAATTGACCCCCCATTCCTCGTGGATCGACTTGGACTTGCCCCTATACTAGGAGTAGGTTTGGTTTATTAATTTGGTTAACTTGGGAAGGCTAGCCTAACGACCCTAGTTTCACCCCTTTGTCATACACCAAGACATCTTATTAAATTTTTTAAACAAAGGAATGATAAATAATCCATATTAACAACATGATTATCTGTAGTATCTACATATCAATACTATATCACAATAAAATTATAAATATATACATATATAGCTGAATTGAGTTTCATGGACACTATTCAGCTCCCCATATCCGATTTTCCTAATTTGGACAGGAATAGGTAGAGGGTTGCTGAGTGATAGGAAGAAATAAGCG